GGGGCACGGGGATTGGGCGTGGTTGGTCGGTGGGCGGGGCTTAGCGGGGCGGGGCACGGGGGGGGGGCGTGGTTTGATCGGTGGGCGGGGCTTAGCGGGGCGTGGCACAGGGAATGGGGGGGGGGTAATCGGTGGGCGGGGCTTAGCGGGGCGGGGCACGGGGATTGGGCGTGGTTTTGTCGGGGGCGGGGCTTAGCGGGGCGTGGCACAGGGAATGGGCGTGGTTTGGTCGGTGGGCGGGGCTTAGAGGGGCGTGGCGGATGGGGTGGGCGTGGTCTGTGAGATGGGCGGGGCTTATGGGGCGTGGCTTGTGGATGGGCGTGGTTTGTGCAGTGAGTGTGGCCTGGAAGGGCGTGGCTCATATAGTGGGCGTGGCTTAGATGGCGGGCATGTCTTAACAGGGCGCGGCATGGGGGACTGGGCGTGGCTTGGATGGTGGGCGGGGCTTATCAGGGTGTAACATGGGAGTGGGCGTGGTTTTAAAAGTGGGTGGGGCCTGGCAGGGCGTGGCACAGGAAGTGGGCGTGGTTTTGGGTGATGGGTGTGGCCTGGAAGGGCGTGGCATGTGGAGTGGGCGTGGTTTTGGGTGATGGGTGTGGCCTGGAAGGGCGTGGCATGTGGAGTGGGCGTGGCTTGGATGGTGGGCGGGGCTTATCAGGGAGTAACATGGGAGTGGGCGTGGTTTGGATGGTGGGTGGGGCTTATTGGGGCGTGGCAGGGTGCTCAGGGTGTGGTTTGGGTGGTGGGCGGGGCGTATTGGGGCGTGGCAGGGTGCTCAGGGTGTGGTTTGGGCGATGGGTGGGGCNGGGGCTTCCTGAGCACCGACACGCTCACGGTGGGCGGGGGTCCCTGGGGAGGGGTCCCGGGGGTCCCTGAGCACCGACACGCTCACAGTGGGGAGGGGTCCCTGGGGAGGGGTCCCGGGGGTCCCTGGGGAGGGGTCCCAGGGGCTTCCTGAGCACTGACATGCTCGCGGTGGGTGGGGGTCCCTGGGGAGGGGTCCTGGGGGTCCCGGGGGTCCCTGGGGAGGGGTCCCTGGGGTCTCGGGGGTCCCTGGGGAGGGGTCCTGGGGGTCCCTGGGGAGGGGTCCCGGGGGTCCCTGGAGCTTCCTGAGCACCGACATGCTCACAGTGGGTGGGGGTCCCTGGGGGTCCCTGGGGAGGGGTCCCGGGGGTCCCTGGGGCTTCCTGAGCACCGACATGCTCACAGTGGGTGGGGGTCCCTGGGGAGGGGTCCCGGGGGTCCCTGGGGAGGGGCCTCAGAATGAGGGGAGGGGTCCCGGGGGTCCCTGAGCACCGACACGCTCACAGTGGGGAGGGGTCCAGGGGTCCCTGGGGGTCCCTGAGGGTCCTTGGGAGTCCTTGGGGAGGGGTCCTGGGGAGGGGTCCCGGCGGTCCCTGAGCTCCAACACGCTGACGGTGGGGAGGGGTCAGTGAGAAGATAATGAGGGGGTGGGGCCAAACCAGACATTGGCAGTGTCACTGTCCCTGTCACCGTGTCCCTGTGTCCCTGTCCTGTGTCCCTGTCCCTGTGTCACTGTCCCCACAGGTGTCCAACATCTCGGTGCCCAACCAGACGTTTACCCTGTCACTGTCACCGTGTCACTGTCCCTGTGTCACTGTCCCCGTGTCCCCACAGGTGTCCAACGTCTCGGTGCCCAACCAGACGTTCACCGTGTCCCTGTCACCATGTCACTGTCCCTGTGTCACCGTGTCCCTGTCACCGTGTCACCATGTCACCCTGTCCCTGTCCCCGCAGGTGTCCAACGTCTTGGTGCCCAACCAGACGTTCTCCGAGGCGGTGTCACCATGTCACTGTCACTGTGTCCCCGTGTCCCCGCAGGTGTCCAACGTCTCGGTGCCCAACCAGACGTTCACCGTGTCCCTGTCACCGTGTCCCTGTCACCGTGTCACCATGTCCCCGTGTCCCTGTCCCCGCAGGTGTCCAACGTCTCGGTGCCCAACCAGACGTTCACTGTGTCACTGTCACCGTGTCCCTGTCCCTGTGTTACTGTCCCCGTGTCCCCGCAGGTGTCCAACATCTCGGTGCCCAACCAGACGTTCACTGTGTCACTGTCACCGTGTCACCATGTCCCCGTGTCCCTGTCCCCGCAG